CCTGCTGTCCCGTCTGGCACGCTGTCGAAGCCTCTACCTCCCCTCGTTCTCTACGAACTTGGTGGCGCGCTCCAAGACGCGGGTGTTTACCAGTTCACCCCGGCCTACGAGCGTGTGACGCACTGCACGTGTGCCCGGACGGGTCGTCACCTGGCTACCTTCACTCGGCAGCCGGGGTCGGACCTGTACAAACTGACCACTGAGTCCCCTTAGGTAGCTGCGTCTGCGTCAGGTCAGCTGTCGGCCCCCTGCTCGGGTCGCTCTCTGTCGCACAGGACTGTCCTCTGGCACCACTACCTTGGTCACCCGTCAGTGCAGCGCCTTCGCGGCATGCACTCCAGGTACCTTGTCTCTGGTCTTCCCAGAGTTCTCCCTCCCCTGACACCCTCGCCTGCTCCTCCCTGTCTTCCCTGTGTTGAGGGGCGGTAGTGCGCCGCTCCTCACTCCTCCTCGTTCCCTCCCACTGAGGCTCCCCTGCAGACTCTCCACCTGGACGTGTGGGGCCCTGCCCGCGTCCGGGGACAGGGCCACGAGCGGTACTTTCTGCTGGTTGTCGATGACTACACGCACTACACCATGGTCTTCCCCTTGCATACCAAGGGTGAGGTCCCTGATGTCTTGATCCCCTGGATCCGCGCTGCTCATCTCCAGCTCCGCCACCGGTTCCAGTCGGACTTTCCTGTCCTACATCTTCAGTCGGACAGAGGTGGCTAGTTTTCCTCTGACCTCCTGGCAGCCTACTGTGCGGAGCACGGCATCCGCCAGACGTTCACTCTCCAGGCCTCTCCGCAGCAGAATGGGGTTGCTGAGTGCCGCATTGGTCTTGTCATGGAGGTCGCTCGTACCTCCATGATCCATGCGGCTGCCCCCCATTTCCTGTGGCCATTTGCAATGCAGAACGCCGCGCATCAGCTCAACCTCTGGCCCCGTGTCTCTGTTTCGGAGACCTCGCCTACCCTGCGTTGGGCGGGGGAGGTTGGCGACGCGTCGGTGTTCCGAGTCTGGGGATGTCGAGCCTTTGTCCGCGATACATCCGCGGACAAACTCTCCTCCCGTGCCTTTGTCCGCGGTGTTCCCTATGTCTTCCTTGGCTTTGTCCCTGACGCGCCTGGCTGGCGGTTTTACCACCCCACCTCGCGTCGTGTCTTCACCTCTCATGACGTCACCTTTGACGAGTTGGTACCCTTTTACCGTCTCTTCCCCTACCGCACTGCCCCGCTCCCCCCCACGCCGCTCTTCCTCACCCCAGGTGTCCCGTCGGTAGACCCCCTCCCTCCCGAGGGTGCTACTCCCTCAGGTGTTTCCCAGGTAGACTCGGTCGAGCCTGTCAAGGTAGCTGTTGACTGTGGTCCTGCGCGAGGTACTGAGCGTGCTGAGGCTGGTGGTGATGGGTCTGGGGGCAGTGAGACTGGAGGTGCTGAGCCTGGGGGTGTGGAGACTGGGGGTGCTAAGCCTGGGGGTGCAGAGACTGGGGGTGCTGAGTCTGGGGGTGCGGAGACTTAGGGTGCTGAGCCGGGAGGTGCTGCGATTGGGGGTGCTGAGCCTGGGGGTACTAAGACTGGAGGTGCTGAGACTGCGGGTGCTGAGCCTGGTGGCGCTCCCTCTTCACAGTAGCTGCGTGAGTGGTACTCCCAGCGCTACAGCCTCCGTCGTGGGGCTACTGGAGCTGGGGGGTCTGCTGGAGTCAGGGCTGGTGGCCTCGCAGATGCAGTGCCCCAGCCAGAGCCTCCCTCCCCTCAGCGGCTACGTGAGTGGTACGCTCGGCGCTGCAGCCTCAGAAGTGGAGCTCCTGGTGTTGAGGTACCGCCAGCTGGAGGCCCTGCTGCTGGAGGTACTGCTGGTGCTGGAGGTCTTGGAGGTGCTACTGGTACTGCTGGAGGTCCTGGAGCGGCTGGAGGTGCTGCTGGTGCTACTGGAGGTTTCGAAGCTGCAGGAGGTGCTGCCGGTGCTGGTGGAGGCTCTGGAGCTGCCGGAGGTGCTGCTGGTGCTGGTTCGGCTGGAGGTTCTGGTGCTGTCTCTGCTGCTTGTGGGGACACTTCACGACCGTGGCCGTACTTCCTTCCACTCCTTCAGCAGGTTCTTGGTCAGCCGCCTCCTCCTAGTCCTCCTCCCTCCTTAGAGTGTCCTCCGCCTGTCCAGTCGCAGTCCCAGCTCCCGCCTGCCTCGTCACTTCCTGGTCCTCTCCCTACACTCGTCCGACAGGCGGTCTTACAAAGCGTCGTGAGCCTGAGTCTCGTCCTGTGTTGCCTGTGTTCCGTCCTGTGTCACCTGCTCGTGCTGCTCGTACTGGTCGCCGTGGTCAGCGTGAGCGTCCTCCACCTGTGCCTGGCACACACTTTATGACTCTGCGTCCTTCCACTGCTCCACAGCGTGTCCCTCTTCCGACCCCTCCTGGGTCCTCTCTTCCTGTCCTTGCTGACCCGGAGTCTGATTCTCTTCGTGCTGCCAGTCCTACTGTCACGCGTCTCCTTGCCACTGTGTCACTGACCCTTCCTTTGAGTCTGCTGCTGCGTCTGCCCTAGTTGGTGAGCTTGTTGACTTTGCTGCTCACTGTCGTATAGACTACGCTGCGAGTCTTGTTGCGGAGTCTGAGTCTGTCTGTCCTCCGTCCGTCGGGGGTGAGTGTGCTCTAGGCACGGACGTCCTTGAGGACAGGCAGGAGGACCTTGAGTTTCTTGCAGCCGCTGCGCCTCATCTCGTTTCCATGCTGATTGCCCCTGAGGGAGACCCGGATGCTCCAGACATCCCGACCCCGCGCTCTTACGCTGAGGCGATCGCGGGTGAGTACTCCTCTCAGTGGCAGTCAGCCATGGACGTAGAGATGGCATCCTGGAAGTCCACTGGCACTTACGTCCACGAGGTTCCCCTTCCTGGGGCGAACATCGTCAGTGGCATGTGGATTTTCAGGGTGAAGCGGCCGCCGGGTTCTCCGCCTGTCTTCAAGGCTTGTTATGTTTCTCGAGGCTTCAGTCAGCGAGAGGGAGTAGACTTCTTTCAGACCTTCTCCCCCACCCCGAAGATGACCACTCTTTGGGTGCTACTGCACGTTGCTGCTCAGCGTGACTATGAGCTTCACTCTCTTGACTTCAGCACAACTTTCTTGCAGGGCAGCCTGCACGAGGAGATCTGGCTGCACCGCCCTCCTGGCTTCACTGGGTCGTTTCCTCCTGGTACCCAGTGGAGCCTCCGGCGGCCAGTCTACGGTCTCTGCCACGCGCCACGTGAGTGGCACGACACACTGAGGACTACTCTTGCGGCACTTGGGTTCGCGCCCTCTACTGCTGACCCGTCGCTGTTTCTACGCACCGACACTTTGCTGCCACCGTTCTACATCCTCGTGTACGTCAACGACTTGGTCTTTGTCACTGCTCACACTGAGGCTCTCGCCCACGTGAAGTTGGAGCTGTAGAAGAGACACACGTGCACAAACCTGGGTGAACTGCGCAGCTACCTTAGCTTGCAGATCACCCAGGATAGAGCACGCCGCACCATTACACTGACTCAGTCACACATGGTGCAGCAGGTCCTTCAGCGCTTCGGCTTCACCTGGTCCTCAGCATAGGCCACTCCTCTGGCTATAGGTCACTCGCTCTCAGCTCTGCCTTCGGATGAGTCCGTAGAGCCGAGTGGTCCTTACCCAGAGCTAGTTGGTTGCCTCATGTACCTGATGACTTGCACTCGTCCTGACCTAGCATACCCTCTTGGCCCTCTGGCCCGCTACGTAGCTCCTGGCAGGCACCGAAAGGTGCACTGGAATGCTGCAAAGAGGGTATTGCGCTACTTGTGCAATACATTTGGCATGGGGCTCGTGCTTGGAGGAGGGAGCTCAGTTTTTCTCACTGTGCACTGAGACGCTTCTTGGGTTGACGACCAGGCTACTCAGCGGTCGTCAGAGGGTTACACCTTTAGCCTTTGCTCTGGTTCAGTTTCTTGGCGTTCTACTCGCTCGTCTTCTGTTCTCAGCGCCAGTTGTGAGGTTGAGATCTACGCCACAGCCATGGCTGCACAGGAGCTACGCTGGCTGACCTACTTGCTGACCGACTTGGGAGAGCGGCCTAGTTCTCCTCCAGTGCTGTACGTTGACAACAAGGCTGCCATTGCCTTGTGTGAGGAGCACAGACTGGAGCACAGAAGGAAGCACATCGCTCTCCGTTATTTTCTGGCTCGAGAGCTGCAGCAGCGCGGTCAGCTTCGTCTGCGTTACGTGGCCACTCAGGCCAACACCGCTGATATATTCACCAAGGCACTTCAGCCTGGTGATCATCAGCTCTTCTGCACTATGCTGGGGCTGGTGCCCACTTTTCCTCACTTGCTGTAGGCTTTGCGTGTACTGTGATCTCTATATATGTATACCTGCTTGTTTGCTTTGCTAGATTGAGATCACCTTGGTGTTTGTGTTGCATATATGCCTCTGCATGTGAACTGGTTCTGTGGCCCTTTGCTTGTGCTCAGAGTGTGTGGTGACGTTGTGATCCACCTTGAGCTTGTTTGCCTTTCTTGACTAGTCTTGTGACCCCTCGCTCTCCCCCACTTTGCCTATGGGGGCGTGTCAAACATTATATATGTGTTATTGCTGTGTAGGCTATAGTGGGTTAGCCTTTAAGGGGTACACAACTCTAGGGTTTCATACTTGTTCTCACATGTTTCATAGTTCAATCACTTCTTGATTCTGACACCAAGCACATATACAACAAGGTTAGAACATGTCAATGTTGGAGAAGAACATATACCAGGTTAGAACATATACAAGGTTACAACATATACAAGGTTCCAACTATATGCCTCTCGACTTATCAGGTAGCTGGTTCTTGAACATGTCAAGGAGCTCGGTGAGATGGAGCTTCACCAAAGCGTCGTGCTCTCTTGCACGGCCGGGATACTTATAAGGGGAGAAAAAACCAACACCAACGAAATGGCGCAGGTTCGCCATCCTCTTCCCCAGCGCCTTAATCAAGGCGCTGAGCGAAACGCCTCGCCTGGTCCATGCAAACCTCCAAGTCTCATCCCCCCCCAGGGTTTTCAGGGTCGATGATGTCCCCGTGAAGCTCGATCTCGGCTTTTGCAGGCTTGTCGTTCTCGTCCACTCCCTTGAGCTCCACCTTGCGCTTGTCCTTGCTGCCGTGTGCAGCAAGGAACTTGTTCAGGCGAGAGGTGTTTGGCCCGTTGGATGCGCCGGGCTCGACGTAGTACTGCGACAGCTTGGTCTTCACCTTGTCGACATGATTCTTCACCTGTGTGATGTCGACCTGAAAGCAAACAGAGCGAGAAAACATTACAGCCAAGCACACAAGTCAAGAAGCGACAAGGCCATGTCATGACAACCATACCGTCTGCTTTTGGAAGGAAAGATTGAGTCTGTTGAGCAGCTGCAGCACGTCAGCCAGGAGATATAGCATATGGTGGAACTTGAAGCTGGTAGCGAGTTTCTTCGTCCCGTCCTTCTCCTTCGTCCACATCCACATCAGCACCGGTAGCACGTCACAGAAGCGATTCACAGCATCCCCGCGAGACAACCAACGGACGGTGCAGAAGCCTTGCACCTCCAGGTGCGTCTACAGAATGACGTCCTGGAGATGCATGTAGGTCTTGTGATCGATCGATGAACGGCCGAGACGCTCTGCAGTCTGGCGTATCATCTGATCGACGACGTTGAACTCCTTGAAGCTCTTCGCGGCATCCTTGGCAGCCAATGCCTCGCTGCACAAGCACGAAACGTGCGTGAGTATGGTTGGGGAGGGGACGGGTGTAACATACGATTGGAAACTGTGCAGTGCAACCTTACCGATGCGCCACGCAGTGAATCGCCACCAGCCACAGGCAACGTTTCTGAAGCAGGGCGACAACTCAGTTCTTCGCGCCAGTCATGACGAATGCAGCATCTGTTGATACCCCGACCAGCTTGCCTAGCGACATGTCCTTCGACCACAGACTCTTCACGATCGTGTCGTGCAGTGCTGCGGCGTCGCAACGTTCGAGCGATAGGAGATCAAGAAACTGGGACACCACGGCCTCGCCTCTCTCAAACGTGACATACACGATGAGGTGATTTCCACGGGCGCGATCCGTGGATTCATCGAACGAGAGGCTATACCAGGCCGACTCTTTGATGTTCGCGAGCTGCCTGGCCACCAGATGCTCCGCCATAGCCTCTACGAACTCGTTGAAGGCATATCTGCAATGAGCACCGAATGAAAATATGAGTAAGTTACCCACAATAGAACATCAGCAGAGGTAAGAATAAAGCAGAAGCATACGAACAGAAGCAAAAGCAGGAAAGCAGGAAATTAGGAGCAGAAACAAACGTTAACAAACACGTACCGCGAGTTATAACGACCGTACGATTCACCGTTCATCATGTCGAGGCATCCTTGCTCCGCCATGAACCGCACCAGCATGGGGTAGAGAGCGATAGGTGCATCGTTCCGTGCAATCCAATGAGCTCCTTGCATGCATTTGACGACCCTCGCCATGACAGGATCGCTACTGAGCATATTCAAGAGGCTGTGCTGCCTCACCTCCGTGCCTTCAGCGAGTCGTTCAGCTTCCATGGACGCGAGGTGCACCTTGGACTGGTCATGGTTGCGGCACGCCGAATTCTGAAAATCCCTTGCACCGACTCCAGCACTGCCAAAGGGAGACTTGGTGTTAGGAGCGAACTTACAGCAGACGGAACACTTCATACCATACTGGCGCTCCTGTTTGTTGTACTTCAAGCTCAGCCACGAGTACATCTGCTTCCACGACGCGCTGAAGCGACGTGCAAGACTCCTCTCAGCTTCAGGGATCTCGGTGTCCGGGGGTTTTTCAGCAGCCTCTGCGATAGCGTTGTCCTGCTCCTCCAGCTCCTCGGCAGTGGGTGGAGGCGGTACGCATCGTGCGCGCTTTCGCGATTCTGGTGGCGGACTAGCGAAGCTAAGGTGAACCTAACGATAACAGGCTGCTGACCTCGGGGTAGACTGTGACGATGAGGCTTCATGGGCGAGGCGCGGATCCAAGACTGAGATTGCTACGTCTAGCATGTCTTCAGCATCCGTGGGTACGTAAGGCTAAGTCTTGGTCGTACTATGAGACGTTCGTCATGGGCAAAACTAGAGGAGGGGTTTCAACCTCGCTATGGTCCATTGTGGGAGAATGTGGCTGACAAAGGGTGTCAAATTATAATGTTGTGTAGGCTGTAGTGGGGTAGCCTATATGGGGTACACATTTCTAGGGCTGCATATTTGTACCACTTTCATTCGTTAGTGCATCATTCTCGTTTCAGTTTTCTCATGGTATTGAGCAGGTTCCCTCGTAGGAACTGTGCCTAGGGCCCACCAAGTCGATATTTTTTTTTTTTTTTTTTCCCTCCAGCCTGGAGCGCGCTCAGCCCGAGTCGCGCTCCCCTCTCTTTCTTCGTCGAGCCGCCCTAGCGGCCACGTCGAGCCGCCTTAGCGGCCCCTCATTCGAGCCGCCCTAGCGACCCCGTCGCCCTCCCTACGGCCTCGGCCCCGTTGCCCTACCTGCGTACCGGCCTCGTCGCCCTACCGTCGACCCGGCCCCGTCGCCCTACCTGCGCCCCGGCCTCGGCCCCGTCGCCCTACCTAAGACCCAGCCCCGGCCCCGTCGCCCTACCTAAGGCCCGGCCCCGTCGCCCTACCGTCGACCCGGCCCCGTCGCCCACCCTGCGCCCCGGCCCCGTCGCCCTACCGTCGACCCGGCCCCGTCGCCCTACCTGTGCCCCGACCTCGGCCCCGTCGCCCTACCTAAGACCCGGCCCCGGCCCCGTCGCCCTACCTAAGGTCCGGCCCCGTCGCTCTACCGTCGACCCGGCCCCGTCGCCCACCCTGCGCCCGGGCCCCGTCGCCCTTCTTCGGCCCGGCCCCGTCGCCCTACCGTCGACCCGGCCCCGTCGCTCTACCTGCGCCCCGGCCCCGGCCCCGTCGCCCTACCTGCACCCCGGCCCCGGCACCGTCGCCCTACCTAAGACCCAGCCCCGGCCCCGTCGCCCTACCTAAGACCTGGCCCCATCGCCCTACCGTCGACCCGGCCCCGTCGCCCACACTTTGACCCGGCCTCGTCGCCCTGCCCAAGGCCTGGCCCCTCCGCTCTACCAGCGGCCCCGCCACCCTACCAGCGGCCCTGCCGCCCTACGCAGCCAAGCCGCCCGCACCGCTACACTGCCTGAGCTGCCCAAGCCGCCCGAGCCGCCCGCACCGCCCGAGCCGCCCGAGCCGCCCGCACCGCTCGAGCCGCCCAAGCCGCCCGAGCCGCCCGCGCCGCCCGAGCCGCCTAATCAGCTGAGGAGCCGAGCTGCAGTTGCTGCCGAGCCGACCGAGTCGCTCGAGCCGCCGTGTTGCCGAGCTGCTGTGCTGCCGAGCTGCCCGAACCGCACTGTCTGGTGAGAGCAGCGTCTCTGTCACTGCACTGCCCCTGCCCTACAGTTAGCGCTTCTAGTGTACTGTAGTCATGGCTACCCTCAGTGTTCTCGCTTTTCACGCTGAGGGTCGGGCCATTTACTTTGACGTCTGGGTAGATGACCTGCAGCTTTTCCTACAGTGCGATAGGGCAGACGGTCTCTCCCTCTTTGACCTCACCTCTGGTGCCTCCCCTGCCCCTGCTGCTGATGCCGACGCCACTGTTCGCTCACAGTGGGCCACTCGCGATGCTGCTGCACGTCTTGCTGTGCGTCGCCACCTGCCTACCACTGAGCGCGCGCACTTTAGTCAGTACAAGAGTGCTCAGACCTTGTACGACGCTGTCGTTGCGCGCTACTCTTCCCCTGCCACTACTGCACTGAGCCGCCTCATGCTACCGTACCTCTTCCCTGACCTTGCTGCCTTTCCCACAGTCGCTGACCTTATTACGCACCTCCGCATTAGTGACACTCGCTACCGCGCTGCGCTTCCTGCTGATTTCTGCGCCAAGAACCCCCCCCCCATGTACACCACTCTCTATTATATAGTCACCCGCCTCCCTGACTCCCTTCGTGTAGTCAGAAACCACTTCCTCTCAGTCTGTCCCACCACTCTCACTGTTGACCTCCTAGAGAAGGCCCTCCTAGAAGCGGAGAAGAGCATAGTCGCTATAGGGGCCTCTCGTGGTGACCCTCGCACCCCCATGTTTGAGGGGTGTTCCCCTTCCCCCCTTTTGCCCTCTGTCGCCTCTGCTGCTGCGGCCGACCTCGTTGGTCTTGAGTCGGTCGGTGCGGCGTCTGCCCCTAGCGAGAGACGCCGCTCTGGCAAGGGCAAAGGGGGCAAGGGCACGGGAGGAGCTAGCGGGGGTGGTGGGGGTGGCGCTGGAGGCGGCGGAGGGAGTGGGGGTGGCGGTGGGAGTGGTGGCGCGGGTGGAGGTGTCGGTGGCAGCAGTGGAGGCGGAGGCGGCGGAGGCGGTAGCGGTGGGAGCGGAGGCGGCGGTGGTGGCGGAGGTGGAGGAGGCCGTGGTGGAGGAGGTGGAGCTGGTCGGGGTGGCGCTTCACAGCGGAGCGGCTCTGGTGGTAGTCAGCGCCAGCAGCAGCAGCAGCAGCGTTCTCGGGACATCCCCCCCCTTCAGCACCTCCGTGAGTGGTACGCTGCCCGTCAGCGTGGTGGGGGTTTTGGTCCGTGCACCTACGTCCTTCGCACCGGCGACCGCGCGGGTGAGCAGTGTGGGGGTGCCCACCCCACCCAGCGCTGCTTTGGCTGCCTGACGGACGCTTGGCGTCACCAGTTCCCGGAGGCCACTGAGATCCCCCGCTGGGGAGAGCTGTCTCGGGCAGGTGTAGCTATCTTTGATCTTGACTTTGATGCTATTCTTGCTGCCATGTATGCTGTGACTATTAGTGATGAGGGTGACTGTTACCGGTGTTTCCCGGCCGACTCGGGCATTGATACTGCTGCTCTAGGTGCTGGTGAGGCTGGTGCTCTAGGTGCCAGTGCGGCTGTTGCTCTAGGTGCGAGTGCGTCTGCGTCCTCAGGTGCTGGTGAGTCTGCGCTCTCAGGTACCGCATCGGCTTCAGCCTTCCTCACCTTCACACTTGACTCAAGGGCTTCTCGCTCCTTCTTTCGAGACCGCACCACACTCACGCCGCTTGGTCGGCCGGTTGCAGTCTCCCTGGCAGACCCCTCTGGGGTTCCTGTCCTCTCCCACTTCTCCACTGTCCTCCCGTGTCCTGCTGCCCCCTCTGGCACCTTGTCTGGTCTTTACCTCCCCTCGTTCACTACGAACTTGGTGAGTGGTGCTGACCTACAGGATGCGGGGGTTCACCAGTTTACTCCTGCGAGTTAGCGGGTGACCCACTGCTCAGACACTCGCACAGGCCGGCACCTGGCCACGTTTACGCGTCGGCCGGGGTCGAGCCTCTACACCCTGACCACTGAGTCTCCTACTGTCCCTGCGTCTGGCCAGGTAGTTGCGTCGGGTCAGATGTTTGCTGCAGCGTCCAGGTCTGGTCCTGAGTCTGCCCCCTGCTCGTGTCGCCTCCTATCTCACGAGACTCTCCTGTGGCACCACCGTCTTGGTCACCCCTCCCTGCCTCGTCTCTAAGGCATGGCTTCCCGTGTCCTCGTCTCTGGTCTTCCCCGGTCCCTCCCTCCCCTTCCTCCGGGGCCTGGTCCTTCCTGCGTCCCCTGTGTCGAGGGGCAGCTACGGGCTGCCCCTCACTCCTCTCAGTTTCCCCCGACAGAGGCCCCGCTGCAGACGCTTCATATGGACGTGTAGGGCTCAGCCCGCGTCTGTGGACAGGGTCACGAGCGCTACTTCCTGCTGGTGGTTGACGACTACTCGCGTTACACCACAGTCTTACCCTTGCGCAACAAGGGCGATGTCACTGAGGTGTTGATCGACTGGATCCGCGTAGCTCGTCTCCAGCTCATGAGGAGCTTCGGCTCGGACTTTCCTGTTCTGCGTCTGCACTCTGACCGAGGCGGAGAGTTCTCCTCTGGCCTTCTGCGAGCCTACTGCCGTGCGCAAGGCATCTGCTAGACCTTTACGCTTTCGGACTCTCCACAGCAAAATGGGATTGCTGAGCGCCGCATTGGCATGGTCATGGACGTCGCCCGTACGTCCATGATGCATGCGGCTGCCCCCCATTTTCTGTGGCCGTTTGCGGTTCGGTACGCGGCGCATCAGATCAACCTTCACCCCAGGGTCTCCATGCCGGAGACCTCCCCAGCTTTGCTGTGGACAGGGAAGGTATGCGATGTGTTCTGTGTCTAGGGATCTCGGGCGTTTGTCCGCGACTTGTCTGCGGACAAGCTGTCCCCTCGTGCTGCTCCTTGTGTCTTCCTTGGCTTCTCCCTTGACGCGCCAGGGTGGCAGTTCTACCACCCCACCTCTCGTCGTGTTATGTCCTCCCAGGACGTCACGTTTGACGAGTCGGTCCCCTACTACCGTCTCTTCCCCTACCGCACTCCTTCCCTCCCCCCGCCTCCGCTCTTCCTTGTGCCAGGTCCCCCCCTGGTAGACCCCCTCCCCCCTCAGGGTCCTGCTCCTTCAAGTGTGTCCCAGGTAGACGTAGTCGAGTCCGTCGAGGTTACTGGTGACTCTGGTACTGCGGCGGGTGTTGAGCCTGGGGGTGCTGACTCTGGGGGTGCTGCGCGTGTGGGTGCTGCGCTTGGGGGTACTGAGCTTGGAGGTGCTGAGCCTGGGGGTGCTGAACCTGGGAGTGCTGAGCCTGGGGGTGCTACGTCTGGGGGTGCTGAGCCTGGGGGTACTACGCCCGGGGGTACAGAGCCTGTGGGTGCTACGTCAGGAGCTGCTCAGCCTGGGGGTGTCA